TTGACATACAGTTGGACCTCCATTTCAAACTCATCATGTGCAATTCCTTGAGCCGAACGTGACATTCAATATGTTGTCCTAATTAAGTGCTCATTTGCTAAATATAACCGGCAAATGCATTTCGTTTGGAAAACTCGGTGATGTCATCCTCACCACATACTGCACAGATAAACCATGTTGGGGGGCTTTACCCAGCGGGTCAAACCTCCACCCCACCTTCCAAATCTAAGATTCCCAGGAAAGCGTTTGCTCGCCACCTCACTCCATCATCGAGCGTCTCACATGAGCTGGCGAGCAACCACCTCCTCTCGCTCCTTTTAGGTGAGGATTACTCGGGTCTTAGGGAGCCAGCGCGGCCCGGATCACGTTGCATCTCTATTATAGTCCTCCGTTTAGGCCTGCTAATGCTCACGCGTGTACACAAAGAGAGCGCGTGGCAGCCTCACAAAGACTGCTTTCATCGCCGGCCAGCGTCAACCGTTCCACTCACACACAACCAATTCTGACAAAGGACTTGGTGGGGGTGCCGTGATGGTCTTTCATCACGATGGCACTGGTTCTAACGTCAGCTATAAATATGGAGCGTCACTCAACAACGGCACCCCTCCACCCTCCTCTATTCACCAGCAGCTCGCTTTCACAGGATGGGCTTGGCACCAGGAAACACCGCACTGTCCACAATCACCAATCTCCCCTCCAGCCCCCTTGTGGGTGAAACGGATCTAACAGGTAAGGGCAGATGACACGTGGGAGACAGCAGGCGGAGGTCACGAAAAATCCTGATGACCTTCCAGTGGCGCCGCTCTACTCCAAACAGTTCCTCTAATATTAACCATCACAGGGAGCGGCTTAGATAATTGCTATTCTTTGCCGGTCTGATGTGATGACACTCAATCTGTCCCCAATAAAGTGAATGGAAATGCCATTCCTCTGTTCCAGCCACCCCTCCCCATAAAACACAAAGGGAAACAAGCATAATGATTTCATCCAAACATCGTGCAGATTCTTCAGCTATTTTTTTGAGAGTCCATGTACACAATATCAATTGCATAAGCCATCCAATGGGCTGGACGAGTACAAAATGGCTGCCGAACATGTTTTGGTTTGTTTTGATCATTTCCCCCCCAGTAACCAGCACTGATCTCTCCACAGCTCCTTAGAACTTGCTCATGATAACGCCTCATTTCTTTCAAGGATGTTGGGAATGGCCCTTCCTCAAAATTCACTTCACACACACACAAACACACACGCAAAAACAAGCTTCTATTAACCGCTGCTCTTAAAAAGTCACTATTCAGCTCATCTTCAGGCAGCGACATCTTGTAGGAGGAAAAGATATTGCAAACGGGCTCATTTGGGTTTGAAGGGGGCAACAACGCCACCTGCTGCTTGTTTTCGTCTTAAGTCACTTTTTTAAAATTTATTTTTTATCAAGGGTACTTCATCCTCCGCCCTTACTCTATCTGTTATTTTACTACCCTAAGTAAGTGAAGTGGACCCAAATGGCAAACATAGAGTCTTGACTGTGACTGGTCTGATTAGCGTTCACCTGTTTCATCTTGTTGGTGACAAAAGATGGCAGCTTTGCTCTGAGCTGCTCCGTCTCCTTGAAGGACCCCGGGAAGCCACTGAGGTAGGCCAGCGTCTGCATGCGGATCAGACCCGGAGCCTCTCTTTCTGTGGTCTGTGGAAAGTGGGATTCGATGATGGAAGCACAGTTTCCTTAAAAAGGTCATGTCAGGAAATTAATATAAAACTCACAAAGTAACATCTGGACACTGACAATTTCTTGTCTTCCTTAAACGCGTCGATGTAGGCTTTCTCAGCTGGAAGAAAAGCATGAAAAAAAATACATGTCAGTTTATTTTGTCTCATCACCCAGGACAGTAAACCGCGCTTTATCGTGCCGGCTATGTTTCGGACCCACCGTCAGCCTGGGAATTGAAGACCAGCACGGAGGCGGCGGTGGACGGGTGGACGGGCTTGCGGAGTTGGAGCAACTCCTTGGCGGCTGCCAGCGCAGGTGAGAGTGGCAGCAACTCCTGGACCGTGGCGTTGGCCGGCAGGGCGGGTTCCAGCGCCAGCATGGGCGCAACGATACAGTGAGACAGCAAACATTCCGCTTTGGCCCTGGAGAGGTGCGCGCGACACCGGTCAGGAAAGGCGGACTTTTGCAAAAGTAAAAGGGACATTGAGTATTACCTAACTTTCGGTTCTTCTGTTGTCTCACTTGCATTTTTCCCCAGACGTTCTCTATGTGGATAAATACAAAATTAAAAATAAAATATACAGTGCTACCTTGACTCACAAGCAGACCCCAATGTCGGTCAAGAGGCCACATATCCAACACACGACTACGATGGTACATACAGTAATGACACTTAGACTTTCATATTTCAAGCAAGACTGAGAATCCGTCTCTCTTGGACTACCTCAGAGCTCTCTGCTCATCTGCCAGTTGCTCTCTCACGGCCTCCAACTCCTTGAGCAGAGCCACGTCTGTGCCATTCACCCACGTGTACACCACATCGATGGGCATGGGGAGGCAGAGCCTACATGGGAATGCAAAGGAAGCTCAGTTTTCACACACTACAAGCTCACATGCTTATTTGAGCGTCAAGAAATGAGATTCCGCCCACCTGCTTTGAAATGATTTGCCACCCAAGTTGTCTCTGTAGGAGTCAAACAGTACGTGGTACTGGTCTCGGCTCCACTCAACCACAACCTGAAAACAGAAAGCAATCGACTCAATACAACATGCGGTGGTATATGCCTGAAAGTGTAGAGCTTTCTTTTATCCTTGCTTGGATTGAAATTAAAATTCCTCTTCCAGGCTGCTCTTTGAATTCATGACCGTGTCATATTGCTTGTGTCATAAAGCATTTTCAAAACAAGTTCGAGTTCCGTCATTGTAACAAAGGCTATAGAAGGCAAGAACGGTGTTTCTAATGAGTCTTCTTACAGTAGAGAGCAACGAAGTGAATTATTTCGAGGCCGGCTTTTAAAAAAGTGCCCGCTAAAAGCACAGAGTCGGAATAAAACATCGACGAAAGGCGCAACAATGATGTCCGATGCAGGTTCGTCTTGGGAGCTACATTTTTTTTTCTGTGTGCGCGCTTAGAGTCTGGCTGTGCGACTTTGCTGATGGCAAATGTCCGCCTGGGCGCGACAACTGTTCCCAAACAGTCTTTTGATATTCAACAACACTTTGTTCCCAATTTGTTTATTCCCACTCTGTGATTGAATCTAGCCTTCTTCCATCTGTTCGCCCCGCTTGCTTTGACGTGATTACTCAAAAAGCCCCCCGCCCAAACGTTTGACAGACACCTCTGCGCTGAGTACGAACCCAAACGTCCAGACATGCCCAAAAATTAACAGAAACGTTAAACATGATACCAATCTGCTCATATATTTCTCTCTGAACGTATTCTGATGCTAAATGTGTACACAAACGAGAAGAAGCTCCTCACCTCGCCGAACTGGAAAGCGGACACAATCATGAGAACGATTCCTCCGAAGCAGAGGTAAAGCCCATAGCGGTGGGACAGACAGGTGTACGTCTGCCTCTGCAGCAGCTTCAGCACAGAATTGACGACTACCATGGCTCTTCTGGGCCAACCATAGCGCCGCATTCATTCGACAATAGCAAGCAAAATCAGCTAAATAAACAGAGGGAGCATCACAAGCGAGCAGGATTAGTCAGTTGACCGCCATAGCACTCCTGACGGGCAAACGCGTGGACGCTTCTTCGACGGCAGCGTTTCCGCTTTCTCGCCTCCGCAGTTTGTCGCCCCCTCGCGGCGAGGAGGGATGCATGAATTTTATTCGGGCAATTGGCAAACGATCAACTTTTCAGAATGTCAAATCATTTTGCAATTATATATGCAAGTTCCCTGATGACAATTATTGAACGCCTGATTTCAAAATGGAGTTTGTGAATAGAATTGTTGTAAAACAAGACAAACATTTGTTTTTCTCCTCTAATTTTTAAAATTCGATTCATTCAAACCAATCCAGCTTGAAATTTACTCATTCCCATGACCACATTTTTTGTCCCCAAAATTCCAAAATAAAAGCCAGAAATTCACTTTTTTTTTTTTTTAGTTTCAACATTTTTGATTGATTCCAACTTTGACGCGTTCTGCTCAGTGCACGACATTGTATATCACTGCGTGTCATTCAAAATCATTTCACATCATTCCTCAATTTTACATTCAGCCTCACAGCCTTCATAAGCAATTTCAGTCGAGTTTTGTGTTGAATTTCTTTCAGAAGTGCTTTTTTTTTTCGCCATTCACACACATATATATA